CTTTGCGTACAACTTCTTATTTTGAAGAGTTTCTAAAGTAATACGCAAGTGAGTTTCGTGATCTTCTTTCGACTTTGAATATATGAGAATATCATCAATAGAAACGATAACAAAGTCGTCCAAATGAAGAGATCGTCAATACGAGGTAAAGGGTATTTATTACGTACCATAACCCGATTTAGTTCCCGATAGTTAATACACAATCGCATTGATCCATCTTTCTTCTTAACGAATAGGACTGGTGCACCCCACAGAGATACACTGGGTCGAATGAAACCCCGATTAGAAAGATCTTCAAGTTGTTCCTTAAGTTCTTTCCTTTCGGTCGGAGCCATACGATACGGAGCCTTTGATATAGGTGCAGCTCCCGGAACAAGATCAACTGTAAATTCAATTTCCCTTTCCGGAGGAACTCCTGGAAGTTCATCTGGAAAAACGTCTTAAAATTGAATAACAACAGGAATATCTTCAAGTTTAAGGCATACCTCTTTTGGATCTTGTAATGAAGCTAAAAATCCTTCACATCCTTGCCATACCATTGCTTTAACATTTACTTCTGAGATAACACGAGTTCCCTTCTCAGGTGAAACACCCTGGAACACGTATTCGGATTTATTGACGTCACCGAAGATGATTTGTTTGGCTTTGCAGTCGATGGTCACTCGATGTTTAGACAACCAATCCATGCCAAGGATGATATCAAAGTGATCCATTTTCATCGGTAGTAAAGTAACTTCCCGAATTCGATCGCCAATAAATAATGGACAGTTTGAGAATTGACAAAATATACATACTGAACTACCCATAGGAGTAGTAATATGTAATGGAAATTCGGTGGATTGTTCATACGATTTAAGATTTTCTTCAAAGTTTTCAAAAACAATTGAGTGTGTAGCACCTGTATCAAATAAAACATATGCATTTCTATCGTCAATAGAAAGGGTATCAGAAACCATACCCGCAGTAGATTTGTCAACAGATAGTGTAAATACTCGACCACCAGCAGTAGATTGCTTCTCTTTATCTTTAGAATTATCTTTTGGCCCTTGTTTACAATCACGAGCTATATGACCTCGTTGACCACAATTATAATAGGTGCTGGTCATTCGAATACATGGGCCAGGACGATGTCTAAAACCACAATCTTTGCACCGTAACAGAGAAGTTGTATTCGAAAAACCTTTACTAGAAGTTCCTTGAGATGAAATTAGAGGATTGTATTTCAGTTGTTTCCACTGATCTATTAGATTGGTTCCTCGTCCGTTAGAATCTCCTTGAAACACATATTTGTTTCTTTTCATATCCCTATCACCTCGGGAAAATATAGACTCTAGGATAATCCTATCTTAGTTCTACCCATTTCTCACAGATCAAACCTAAATTGTACTACAGGATAATAACCTATAGCTCTGATAACACAACTTGTAACACCCCCGTCCCGCGTGGTCAAACACGGGAGATGCACAATTGGAATAAAAAAAACAACGCGCTATATAAAACAGAACAGCTAATAAAATTTATCAAAAGATAATTACATAACCATAGACGGAGATAACGTGTCTCAAAATATGGTTTCAAAATACCAGTATGTCTACCTTAGTCATCAAAAGTTTAACAAAAGTATGACTTAATGGGTTATCTTCAATATTGTCGTCTCCATAGCTCTTATCCCAAAATCCCTGCTAAGTCATGTACCTGTCGAGGACAAGAAAATCTCGGCTGAGCTTAATGCTCAGTGAACGGATAATAATATAACTAAACAGTGAATATGAGATAACAAGTTCAAAAACAATTTATAATGCCAAGTGATAATCCAAAAGAAAGTCAAAATGCCCCAAAAGCATGTCAAGGGTCCAAAGACCAAACTCCATCACGAGGACGCGTTGTTCCCAAAGGATGATCAGTCCATTCAGGCACAAGTGAGGAAAGGGGTGTGAGCACAACACATCAATCCTCTCCGTGAATTTAACCACGGCCACAATTCATTATCCGATAACGGTTCCTAGGATCGATCCATACGCCCTCTATTCGACCGGTACATAATCAAGTCCACTTTTAAGAACTATAAAAATGAGGACGCCATGATCGTTTTAGTCACCATGGAAACATCTCAATACTGATGCTCCAGTTATTGAGTCTATAGTAGAATGTTTCACAAATAAAGCAATAAAACAAGTCAAGTGATCAAAATGATCCATATTTCGAATAAGAATATAAGTCGTAATTCAAAAGGAAACAAAGTTCAATAACATTTGATAAGCATAAAGGAAATTCAGAACAAATTATTCGGAATTTATCACAGATTAKMCGGATYAGGAAGCCTTACGCAAATGGCTATCCCCGTGTCAAGCGAGATATGGAATCCGTACCTTAACCGAMTTTGACAATTAACGCACGATCAAACGGAAATYYACGATCAAGTTTGATTTGCCCGCGTGCCTAACGAATGCATAACCGGTTACTATTTACAAAGAATAAAAACCGTAACATAACTATTCTAATAAACTTACTTAGGTCTTAATGTACTTAAACAACGTAGACTTCAAGAAGGACAGYCGGATATGAATTGAAAACTYAAACGTAAAACTTAGCATTATTCTCTTTCGATCCAACCGTTTCTGACCCTCTTATTTCTAAGCATTTTTATCTTATTTAGAGACTAATTCAGATTATATTTTCTAAATCAAAGTTGTAGATTGGTATCATATGAGTCTATTGCTTTTTAAATCATCTCATTTGGATCATCCATCTATTTTATATGAATTTTACAAAACTGTAAATTAATTCCGAATACAGTATAAGCAGCCCCAAAAATACACTGTTTCAAGCCACCTAGAGTCATAACTGGATTTTTGACCCTTCAAGAAAGTTGTAATATGCAGTAAGTTCTTTATGTCTGCAAAATACGAGCTTATTCCGACTTACGGTTTGTGAGTTATACACTATCAAAGTACGGGAGTTACATTATCGGTAAAATTCGATTCCGTAATTCCCGACTAACTTTTATGATCCACCTTTCATGATTTGCTACATTTACATGATATAAACGTACTTCAACATACTAAACAGTAAAACAAGTCCAATGGTCACTAACCTAATCTTAATCATGCATTTTTATTCCTTTCGACATTTAACCGAACAATTGGTRTACGGTTAAACATATACCCACAATCTAACCGTATTAAAACTATAATATACCGTTTTTATTTCTACATCAATATAATCAGTCCTAGTATTCTAAGCATCAACTATATCATAATTTTGACAACATCAATCCGTAAACTTAGATATAAACACACTTTATAAACCGGTCTAAATAACCCTAAAATAAACACCTTAATGAAACTGAATGAAACTTATACCTTTGAGAAGGGTTCGTTGAGTGAATTCCGAATATATAATTGTTGCCTCGATCCCCTTACTAACTTGACGTAAAATTTAGAGAGAAGATGATAGTTTTTAGAGAGAGATAAATACAGAGAATGAAAAGTTAGAGATTTGAGACGGTGATAGAAACCGTCTTTGACATGCATACATGTATATATATATATATAATTTTTTTTAGTTATATATATATATATATATAAAGTTTAATCATTTGGCGGTTTTGACCCTTCAAGTCTAGATTTATGGCAATATAGGTATAAACTCATTTTTGACGCAAAACTCATCTGAGGTACAAGTTGGTATAACATAGGGTACAAATATGTTATGCATAATTCTACCAAAAATTTACTTAACCCAGTTTGTACGAGTTAACGAAACACGAATATTATAACTTGGCCTTCTTCTGATATAAACATCAACTTCTCTTGTTGACGTTCAATGCCTAAAATTTATTTCTTCACATTTTTAACGATTTATAAGTCGACAACATTGCTTACGTCGTTATTTCAACTCATACATCGATATATACATATGTCTATATATATACGTGCATACATAAGTATATATTTATATGAAGTCATGCCATCAACAGTTTATACATGAAAACTATTTGGAACTATTTTGATGACTCTGCAAGCACGAAATGCATGTATGCACACTAATAACTTAATATGTACATGCATTTACATTATGCCTTGAAACATATTATATATATATGTATGAACATATATGCTCTAACAAGTCATCCACACACACACACATACATATATATATATATATATGTATGCTTACTAACTCTTCATGCAAGGTTGGCGCACACATGGTGTGTGTATATATATCTACCCATTTCAATTTCTCAATACACCCGTCACCCGTGATCTACCTATTGTTTCGAGTTGTTTAATTTTCTTTCTTTCCAATACAGTGACCAATGAGCCTAATAACAAGAAATATCTTGCTTAATAAGCCTAACACAACGAGTTCTCAAGGTACGTAAGCTTCGATCCATCACAACGGTGAAACGTCGGACCATCCGTTATAAAAATATTGGGCCGATACACCCATGAACCACAATTTATATCTTTTAAAATCAATAAGGATCAGCGTTTGACAACCTGGTATCACTGAGATTACCGTTGTCTAGAACGGTAGAAGTGCTATTGTGACTGTTGGCACTGTTGCCCTAATGAAACCTACCCGATTAATCGAACAATTAGCGGGATTATCTAGTAAACAATAATTAGAGAGGATCGATACGAAACACTTATAGATTGACGTCAAACTAGCTACGATGTAGGGCACCATCAACTCTCGTTTCAGCGTCCACCATCATCTTTACTCGCAATAGTTCTCCTTTTTGACCAAAGTTCACATAAACCTACAAACTCTCATTTTATACTAAGCCATTGGCGGTTTTACGGAAGAGGAAGCGATAAAGCTATGATAAATGGCCGTAGATTTCATGACTATTAGGTTTCATGTCATTGAATTACATTCAATTTTAGAGTCTAAACCCTTCACTTCGATTGCATTTACACTATCGGTTCTTGAAATTTAACGACCATCAATTCTTTTCCCACCCTTTTTTGGGTTATTACAACTTTCCCCCTTAACAAAATATGATGAATCAACTCACTATATCATCAATACTATGAGTTCCTATTATTCTAAAAGCTAAATATATTCTCCCCCACTAAAGCAAATCAGTTGGAGTTTGTCACCAAAACTTTATCCACCAACACCACTCTACATCTATTTTATCTCATCTTACCATGTGTTTTTCATAAACACATCTCTATCAATGTCATTATATCCAAGGATATTAAACCATCTAACGACTTCTCTACTTTAATCTGGTTTAAGACTAACCCCAAATTAACTTAAATCACCACTCTCATAACTATAAATCAATCTTTAGTTACACATCTATCAATAACAAAATCCTCCATTCTCAGTTTAAGTTTAGGTTTCAGTAACCTAATTCACTTAAACTTTGATCTGATACCACTTGTAACATCCCAAATATTTCGAATACTTAAATATATCAAAACTAGTATCCCAATATCAAACACTTACATTGCCACAAAAATAAAATTGCTAATCGTACAAATTATATCACCATATAAATTACAATCTTGAGGAGCATAACTTCGCTCTATATAACAATGCCCTGATTTGCACATATCTTTCTTTGGAGCTAATCCTTGTCTCTCTTTATTGCACTTTTCTTTTCACTCAAATAGCCGCCTGGGTGAAATTTTTTTAAAAGAGTTTTGGTTGAGCCTTAGGCCTAGTGAATCCACGGTTTTCAAGCATGAACAACAACTTTTACAATAGACAAATTTCACTAAGCTTCATAAATTAATCATGCTTTGATGAGAATAATATTTTTCACAAAATAAAGGTATTACAGTGGGTGATTATATCATAAAACAATGGTGTCATGGGAGATGTCGACCTCACACAACATTACATGGCAAACTCACACAGCATGTCCGCACTTACGGCTTAGACAAGCTCACAAAGCATGCTTGTCTTTACAAAATTGTATAGTAGTACATCCCCATTGACATACAAATACTCAAAACACATATTATAAAAATATCGAACTTTTCACGCATATATAACATATCAAAAATCTCGATAAACCTCAAACAACTTGTGGATAATAAGGCATGCAACCATTTTAAAAATAAATAACGTGTAACTCACCATTCAGGTCATAACTCCAAACCGTTCCTCGAAGTTCCTCATGTTCTCCCAAACAAATGCATCAAACTTGTTGCACTTCACCAAACCATCCTCATCTTTCAACTCTCTTATACGAGTTTCCTTTCCTGAGAAATTGTCATCTCTATGCTTGAATACCTCCCCATATATATACTTAATGCATGTGAACGGTTATGGGTAGATG